GATAAATAAAACTTTGTTTTTATATTGGAACATGGTGTATACTGCTTAAAATATTTAAATACTTCTCACCTGTTAACGTGTAATAAACATGCTATCACATGTTTACAAAAACCAGACAGCTACGCTTTGCACGTGCATTCTCCCTGTAATTGAGATGTATTAAAATGCCAATATCTGAGATTGCAACATTAAAGCAACAACATGAACTTCGGTGTTGTTGTTAGAGTTTAATCCACAAAATACGATGTGTCCAGCATCCAAAACGGCTTCACCTTCTACAAGACAACGTTTCCTGTTGCCGATATAGTCTAGAATTTGACGTAAATTCAATGATTTGTTCTTCATTTGGTCTTCGCAGTAGTCGTCACCGATAGAAACTGAATTGGCTCAGGCACTGAACAAACACGTGGTCGGCTCCTTACCTGTTCCGGCAGCCATCTTGGCTCAAAAACAGCGCCCTCTGTCAGATTTGGCGCTTGCCAATAGTCTTCCTTTGAGACATTTTTTGACTTCTGAAATAAGCCAAAGTGACAGGGAGCAAGATCTGGACTGTACAGAGAGTGATCCAAAACAGTTAGTCCAGATTTGATGAAATAGATGACTGTATCTTTTGATCTGTGCACTGGAATGTTATCATGGTGTAGGTGCCATGTGTTGAACCAGAATCTTGGACAGATGTTCCTCAGTTGTTGAATGACTTTTGGCAAACATGTTTGGGTATACCAGAGTAGTGACTATATACTGTTTTTCTAGTACAACCCTCTCTATAATACCATGCTTTGCAATAATGCAGCAATCATTCATTTCTTTGTTAAATGTGATTTTTGGACCTCTACTGGAATTGCTTCATCTTCAAAGAGCCAAACTTTGTTCTGAGATTTTGTTGGCACATCATAGTAATACAGCCAGGTCTCATCACCCATTATAATGCTGCTAACATTCTTGACTGTTCCAGACTCAACCATTTAATCATTTTTTTACACAATTCTATCCTGTTGTGCTTCTGCTCCTCCATCAGTGTATGAGGCACCTAAAGCAAACAAACATTTCTTAATCCTAAGTGCTTGTGCAGAATGTCATGAACAGATGATGCACTAATATTCAGTAGTTCCTGAATCTGCCAATAGGTGATTCACCTATTTTTGCTGAGAAGTTTCTTTATAGTATCTATATTTTCTGACATCACTGCTTCTGCTAGCCTACCTGAGCATGGGTCATCATCCACCACACCAAAATTACCACTTTTAAACTGTTTATACCATCATGTAAGTCTTCAAGAAGGGACAATGTTTCCCCAAAACAGAAGATATTTCTGAAAAACACTCCTCTTTACTGAGATTATGTAAAAAGTTATAACAGATAATCTTCCAATATTCAGTTTTCATCCACACTGCCATTTTCCAGTATTTTTGCAATGTTTGTTGAAAAAGTACCCAAACCAGGAACTCATTTAGGACTTTGCCCATTTTTCATGCTGTTTTGATTGATGAAGACTCATTTCGCTATGACCAATGGAAGACGTGAAGGACAAAACTTTCCGAGTGACATATGTATATGGGTCAAGTTAAGAGGTACTTTCAACGTCCATGAGAAAAAAATCACATTTTTTTCAAAAATTTGTTTGAAATAATGTTATTATCTCTCAAAACTCACCATCTTCTTTATGGTCACTTAAATTCATTACTTAAATATACTTAATTTAGTCACAATAGTACTTCAAACATGAAAAACATATCTCCCCTGGCCTGTCCCCTAACCGATTCTGTTCGTGTATCAGTAATTTTAAATACATAGAAATCTAATAAAATATCAAAATCATTCATTTTAATAAAATAGGATAAGTAAGTTATTTTAATCTAACAAGTAAAATTACGTAATATTTCTTTTTCATAAAAAAATATTTACATCTAATTTGTCCTGCATTTTTCGTGTCTCGTCCCCTGGCATTTTGTATTTGTCAAAAAACGATGTTTGTTTACTTTGTCGTGGGAAATTGTGACCTTGAACACATTTCATTGGACGTGAAGTTAGCAGTAAGCATCAAGCCAGCTAACCACGCAGCCATTTTGTCAGTGATTTCGGTAACGTTACTCTGTGGGTACAGTTGTGAACGAGTGAAGTGATCTCTCCCCTGGTAAGTTTTATTTTGTGATTATTTACCTAAGAACTTCATTTTATTTGTATATTTACTGTTATTTGTGCATAGATTCTCATATTTACTTGTTAATTATGTACAATAAATACTGTTACGATTATTTCAGTTTTCTAACGAAAAATTATCTCCCCTGTCATATCTCCCCTGCCTTTTAAGATTCCAGGGGAAAGACTTTATGTCCAGGAGAGATATAAAAACGTCAGATCAGAGTATTTTTATGAATAACACATAAACCGTCATTCTGTAATTTAGTCAATATACATTTTTACTCTTTTAGCCTATCTCATACATTTAATTATGTATAATATGTCTTTTACAGAATGTTAGCAAGAAAAAAAGTGACATATAAAGAATGCCTAGAAAAAAAACGTGTAGCAGAAAGATTAAGGTACCAATGCATAAAAAATGACCCTGACAAATACGCACTACAAAAACTTAAAGAACGTGAAAAGTATCAAAAGAAAGAAAAAGGAATTGTTAAGACTATGAACCAAATGACCCCCTAAGAACAGCGAAAAGTTAGAAAATTGTGGAGAGAAAAAGCAAAGAATCGTACATGTCTTTTAGCACTTCAAGTCATAAGTAATGAATCCTCAACCCTTCCTAGTTCGGATAATGAAGACCAACTGCTACTACCACCTCCTCAGAATGAAAATATTAACAGGCTGCTTGAAAATAAACAGTCTGATAATTTAATAATTATAAAATGAATAAATAAAGTTGATTCTTTAAAAAAAAAGTCTATTTTCTTTCATAAAGCAATGTTAAAATCTCTCCCCTGTTCATAAAGTATCCTACCCTGTAAACCTAGTCTTCCCCCTGTATTGAGTATCTCCCCTGGTCATTCATAAAACAAGATAAAATAAATAAATTGACTGGCCACCTTGCAGATATGCACAAATTAGTTGTTTCAATAAAAATGTTACATAATTAGATTAAATTTCTAACATTTATGTTGTGGCCACATCTCTTAACCAGTGAGTATCTCTTAACTTAGAATGACCCATATACCTTTAGATTAAAAGCATAGGTCTTACATTATGCGTTTTTTTTTTTTTTTTCTTTATTTTGCTTTCGTAACCCTTAAATTCTACTCTTCTTTTTGTATAAGACCTCACTAATAGACATGTCCTAAGCAGATAGAAATGTTTAGGGGCGACACATATTAAAGAAAACAACTACTGTATCATGTTAACTAAAGACACGATTATTTCTTCTACAAAACAATTTTTATACCAATTATAGATGAACAATTTATAATTACTTATTCTATAACTAAAATATTAAAAAGTATAGTTTTATAAAGAAAAACACTAACTCTCAGTTTTCGTGCATCGTCACCAAATCTTGAAAAATCAAATTTTGTTCCACTGCTTAACTTCCTAAACAAGCACATGGCATCCATGTTCAAATTTGAAAACACGTGGAGTTTTGTTTAGTAACGTTATCAAAATTATTCTTTTTTAAATATTTTTTAATAAGTAAATAATTTAAATTTTTACTTTTTATAATAAAATTAATATTTTTAAAATACATTAAAATTTCAATTAATCAATTTAACTTTTAAAAAATTTTTGCGTTAAGGATATTTTTTTATTTTTTCATTTTGACTCTTTTTGCCCCATGAGAACTTAAGATACTGTATTTTAAAATCATACCCCTTATGAGTTTGGCCAGGCTCGTTATGGGGCAGCCTAGGGTGAAAGATGGAGCCCGACGTTTCCGATACAGATTGCTTAAGAATTCCTGGGTTGATCGTCCGGATTCGATCCACGGTATCCCAGAGCGGTAGGTCGTCGCTCTAAGGATACTAGAGAGTTAAATTTGATTTCATGTTGCTTATTAGTATGAAAACAAATTATGTCGGAGTCAGCCAGCATGCAAAAAATAGGGAAAACAAAGCTTGACACGAATTTATTATGATAAAATTACAAGGATTCAAATTAAATTCGAATTTAGACCTTCAATAAGACATTTCAGTAGTTAAATCTCTTACCGATATAGGTCGGATAGCCAAGGGTTTTTTTAAACTCTTTCCGCCCTGTGGGCACTAAAAGGGCAAGCCTATTTTTAAGCAAGCCTATTATGGGTTCGACCTGGCTCACAATGGGGCATCAGGGTGGTGAGAGATGGGGGCCGACATATCTGGTCGAAAAATCCCCTGGAATTTTCGGGGATGGTCACCCCCGAAAATTCCAGGAATTTTTCGACCCGTTCGGATTCGATCCCGAGTCCCCCAGAGCAGTAGGCTGCCACCTTAAAGACACTAGCTTGCTGCTCTAAAAGACTCTGGAATGGGCCTAGGTTCTGGTTCAGGTTTGATCCTTAAATTTTTTACGGATGCCTTGATCTAGAGACATTAGGTCCAACCCCATTTTGACCAGACCGGATGGCCGAGCGGTCAAGGTGGCAGCCGTCTGGGGACCCGGATTCGAATCCGGACGAGTCGACAAATCCCCATGAATTTTTCGGAGGTGGTCCGTTCGGATATGTCAGGCCCCGTCCCTCACCATCCGGTTGCCCCATTGTGGGCCTGGCCGAACCCATAATGGGTCTGCTTTAAGAGGTCCTCTTAGTGCCCACAGGGCGGAAAGAGTAAAAACAAAAACCATTTTGACCTACCGAACTCCCGATAGTCATAGAAAAAAGATCTGCTATTATGCTCAGATGCTATTATGAGTGATCTAATCTACACTTGCTAACTAGGCCTAATGCAACTATATTTATTGCTTACATTAGTTAGCAAATGTAACCAATAAGTATAATTGACTGTATGAGATATTTGACGGCGGGATGACCGGGCGGTTCAGGTGTCAGCCTACCGTTCTGGGAACCCGCGAACAAATTCAATCAGGTTGAAAAACTCTAATAATTTTTGGGGGATGGTAAGTTCCGGATATGTTGGGCTCTGTCCCTCACCATCCCATCGTCTTATTGTGGGTCTGGCCGAATCGACGATAAAAAGGCTCTTTTAGTGCCCTCACAGGGCATTGCATCTTTCATGACAAAATGACCGCGCGACGATATGAAGCTTCTTCACTTGAAAAAATTAGGATCGGTTCTGTGTGCATTTTCAAATATTTATATGGCAATTAAAACGAAATTTTGATGCTCATTCTCAACATAATCGCTAACTCAATTGAAGAACCGGCCGGATAGCCAAAACAGTAATGGCATCAACTTGCCGCTTTGCGACACCCAAGAACGAATCTGGACGAAGGACCCCATAATGTGTGTTCCGCTCCGGATATTTAGGGCCATGTGATAAAAAGTCAAAAATGAAAAAAGCTTCTTAATTCCAATTATTTTCTTAATTGTTCTCTTTTTAGTTAATGTTTATTTTTTTATTACATCATTGATGATATTAAAAAAGTCTATTGATAATTTATATAAGTGGAACTTTTATTGGTGAAAATATTTTCCTAGAATATCAATAGGAATTTTAGAAATCAATAGAGCATCATTAAAATTTATTGCAGCTTTTTATTGGTTGCTTTTTTCTGGAAAGATTTACAATGCAATGTGCTTTAATTACAGTACGAATAACGCCGAATGCATAAAACTCTACCGACTATCTCAATTTTCAAATTTAAGAAATAATTTTGCTTTTAATAGTATCAAAACAAGCAAATTATTAGGCTAATTACGAACCTAGAATTATACTCTTTCGACCAAAATACCAATGGTAAAGGGTATTGAACTACGCTGGCTATTATCCAGTTTTCATTACTTAAAATTTAAAATAAACAAAAAAAAAAAAAAAAAAAACCTTTTTCTGCTTAAATTAAATATATGAGTAAAGGAATATCAGAAGATAATAGACCTAAATATATGAAGTAATTATTATTCAACTTTTTATTTTATACGTTATAGAAAATATTATTTTATTAAAAGATTGATTCTTTATGTGTAAATAAATAATATTAAATAGATGTAGACTCGTTATATCTTGTATTCAAACAATTATGCGCTCTAAAAAGTCTATTTTAATAAGTTTTATTACTTTAAAATGATCGTTAATTAATTTTTAATGCATAAATTCTTCAGAATCTTAGCTAAATTACCTAATTGAAAAACTTTTATTTGTTGTAATAATTTTTTAAAATAGAAATAAATAATTTATCATTATAAATCGAGAAATGATTGATTTTAATAATAATTATTTTTCTATTGCGGTTACTTTACTTCAAATTTCTAATAGAAATTTTTGTTTTTTAAAATTTTACTGGTAATTAAAACGAGAGTAAACAAAATATGGACTAAGGCTTCTGCTTGAAATATAAATATTAAAATCATTTTATGCAAATTATTGTACGCAAGATGCCTAAAGGGAAAGACTTTCTTTAATTCAGAATCCGAGCTGAACTTTCGAGTCTTCATTCGGAAAGTCAGTCATTCTTAACATATGACTGATCTAATGGGGGCATTTTGTATCGTAATGATTTGTTATTTTAAATACAGTAGTACCTTTTATTGCAGACAGATGGCAGAGTATCCAAAAACAAACATTCTGAAATCACGTTCAACATATACCCCGCGTTTCTTTATGCAGCGCTCGAGAAGCGCTTTACAGCGAACACACTGAAACTGGTTTCTAATTGGCCAACACTGCTCGTGACGTCATTTTGCTACACTCTCGCTGCATAAAGAAACGCAGGGATTATTAATTACCAGGCACAGAAATTTTATGTTTAATATTGCGAAATATAATGAGAAAAGTTATATATATATACACGCATAAAAAATGTATAGAAAGCTGCTATAAAAATAATCAGTCTTTGAACTTTTAAAAATGTATTATAACAAAATATTTTCCTTGGATAATTGGCTAAGATTTTGCAGAGTTGTATTAAAATGATCTACTTAACAAACGTTTTTAAAACAATAAAACTTATTAAAATAGATTTTGTAAAGCATATAATTCTTCAAATATAAAATAAAATGAATCTATATCTACTTGTTATTATTTATTTACATATACAGGTTCAATCCATTAATAAAGTAATGTTTTCTACAATGTTTAGAAAACTTGAATAATAATAACTGTTTGTTATCTTCTTACATTCGTTTACTCATAAATCTAATTTAAATCAAAAGCTGTTTTTTTAAGTTTATTTTAAATTTAACAGTAAACAAAAGAATTTTAAGTAATGAAAATTGGATAAAAGCCAGTGTAGTTCAATACACTTTCGCCATTGATATTTTGGTGGAAATAGAATAATTCTAGGTTTCTTGAGTTATTCGATTATTTTGAAAATATAAAAGTGCAACTTCAAAAGTAATTCTAGAAATTCAAAAGATTTTAAGAAAATTACAAGCGATAATATTTACGTATATAATTTAATAATCCACGTATAATTATAATTCCTATTTAAATCTTTAGAAGTATTTTATTGTAAATTTAGTACTTTATTATTTCGATTTAAAACAAAATTGTATAATAAATAAATAAACTATTAATGACTATATACAATTTAATTTTAGCACTAACATCTTATCACTTCTCTTTTATATTTTGCGATTTGATTAAACATAAATCTGCTTTAGAATTGTCTTTCAAAACGTGGTTTTAGATGATATTAGTTGTGTAAGATGCTTACAAAATAATTTAAATTAAACATATCATCTTGACATACTTTCAAATTTAATTTTTGAATTTATTAATTTTGGCAACTTTCAGTTTCTAGGTTAGTCACGATCTATCAAAATCTTATTGATTTTTAAATGTTATTAAAAATCACTTCAAATTGGATGTCGTCCATAAATAAAAATAAACTTAAAAAAACACAATTGCTATTTTTAAATTACTAAGAATTTTATAAATTAGCATACATAAATTTAATGATGTAATTATTATAGATGTAAGCCATTTTATTTTATTTTTTTTTAGGGATCCGGTTATTTGTAGACGGGATTTTATAACTAGTATATTGCTTGGAAACTTGTTATATTATGATTAAGTTTATAAGTAAACCTTTTTAAATTGTTTAAAAAATGAATTTAATAGTTAAAATATTTCAAAAATAAATAATATACGAGGATTCTACTCTCGAATTTGACTGAATAAATTGTAATGATTACACTATTTGCCTGATGTAATTGATATAACCATTAACATAATTCTTTCATGTAGAAATTTAACTGGATTAACTTATTTTTTCATAATACTTATTATATTAATTGCTAAATATTTAGTTAATAAATTTGAAATTCGAAATAAATAAAAAAAATTGCAACATTTTAAAATTATTATTTCTTCGATTCAAAATTTATTAATTTAAACCTCTAGATTTTAATAAACAAGTTAATTACGAGATGTAATTTTATATATAATTTATAATTATACTAACTATTTTAATGTAATTATATAAATAGTAGATTGCAGTTCTTAAATTAAACTGAAATGTTATATTAATAACATATTTTAATTTTTCAGAATTTTAGAATTAAAAAAAAATACAGTAAAAAGTAATTTAAAT